CTGTTTCCCAAAATTAAGGTTTTGACTGTTTCGGCAAAACTTCTGTCATCGCTTGGAAAAAAAGTTTGAAAGGACAGAAAAAGGGAAGTCAGCGCTTTTCTACTATCCTCCATGACAAATTTCCAAGACATGAGACTACGAAATAGCCACGTCTTGAAATAAAGGTGAAAAAGGTCCAAAGTTTAGATGTTGTCGCGTTTGAAAGGAATGGGTTTGCACACGTTGAGCTTGAAGTCATGAAACTGCTGTAGTTAGGTATGTATTTTCATGCCTAAAATCGACTAATAAGATTAAGTAGCTTTGACGTAGCCTAACCCCCTAAAATCTGCTTCGTAAAGTACGTCTCTGCTGGCCGACAGCTTTATGCAAAAGTGTGACGATAAACTAGCTTTTGTAGTTAAGCCATGAATTACAGCATGACCTGAATGCACGTGCTGATGTCTCAAAACGGATTTAAAATAACTTGTTCTTCTTCCTGATCTAATAAAAAAAGCCTGCAATGGTCAAAACGCTCGTGTTGCATTTGTGCAGACAGCGTCACACGAATCAGTACATCTCAAGTGACCGTAGCCGCTTCAATCGAGTTTCTTCAAGCAAAAAAAGACACTCAAAGGCAGCTGTGCTCGCTGCATCTAATTACATTTAGTCAACAAATCACGACATGGCCTTTTCTACCCCAAAAATGCTGGCATTCGAGTACTCACCTCTGCGCAGTCATGATAAAATTGTGGTACCTACAGCTCCAAACACACGTGCGTGCATGCAGTACCGAAATTGAACTTTGAAATGAACCTACCCTTATGTAACAAGAACAGTCATAGTCGTTAGGCCTTGACTTCAACAGTCGAGCGCATTCAACTACACGTCCTCAATTTATCAAAATCACATCCAGACAATTCATTATAAAAGGCTTAACGAGAACGATGGCCCTTGACGGCGTTGAAGGAAGAAAGATCGATTTGTTCGAAATAATGACCACAAAGGTCAAAGGGCTCAGTGAGATTAAGTTTGAATTCAGGCCCCAAATTCACCTCTTATTACATAAAACACTTTACAATGTACATGAGGGTATTTACCAAACAATTACCCTTAAAAAAACCTTTTCAGCTCCCTTATAAACGAGCCCAGACGATGAATGTCATTTTAAAAAGCCTCTAATTGTAGATCTGTAGGAATAGGTTCAAACAAATGGACATTCAACGAAGGCCGCTAAGAAATGTCAAGTATACAGAATAGATTGCCTTGTTCGTGAAGATTTTCACAATTATGCATGATCATGTGAATTTTGAGCACGGATATGTATACTGAGGGTCAGTGCACGCCAATTAAGCATAATAAGGATAGCACATGATCATTTGGTACTGCAGTCAAGGGCATTTACACAAAAGCGAACATCGTCGAGCAGTTTAGGTGCATAATTCAATTGTGAAAAAGTGTCATCACGACAAGCGAACCAATTGCGTAACACGAAGACATGACACCTAATCAATGAGTCAGACGCCATAGGTGGTGATCCCAACCACCAGGCTGTTGCCTCCTGGCTGACACAATCCAGAGCTTTATTGACACAAGACAGGAAGGCTATTCAGATCGCGTTTTGGAAGCCTGTGCATGACCCAGCAGCTCATGGGATGAAACTGCAGGCATTGCATAAAGTTGTCAACCTTACCTAGTGAACATTATAATCAAGGAGGTAGAAGTAAGGCGCAACAAGAAGTCGATTCCACGGAGCACATATGTAGCAAAGGGATAAAATTGGAATTTTGTTCAATGACACCTAAAGGTGCCAGTTCGTCGTTCATCCAAAGGAAAAAACGGCTAGTCTTTAGAGTACCTTTTGTTCAATTATGACACCACTAAATTAGGTAAACGCAAGGTTTTGAGTAAATTATGTAAAAAAATGACCTAACAACTAGTTTTTCAATTATTCCCATCAAGTAGCAGCACCAATGCTTTCACTTATGGTTATCCGTAGCTTAGTAGAAATCGAAAGCAAAAGAAAACACTACACTCACAAATTCCGTGGGCTTTTTCGAGGAAATGAGGTCTACAGAAGAGTTTGTCCTTCGAAGACTCACAGGTGATGCCCCTGAACACGGATAGGAAATAGAATACAACAATAGATGCAGTCGGAAAATATCAGTACCATGGTATGAAGGCAAGAAATTAGATTTGCGAATCTGGATTTTTCCCAGTATCAGTATTTAGTGAGCATAAAACTCACTGCATTACGAACAACCAGCACTAACTTTCGGAACTGCAGTTTTTGGCACAGGTAGGATAAAGTTAGAACTTTACTAATCTACGGCTTATAGAGAACTCACACTTACATGAACATTCAGATGGATGTTTGCGCAAACAGGAATATTTTGTCTTAAATTACGGCCCGTAACTCTTAAATATTGACACTATTTTAAACCTCATTAAACTCTAAAATTAAAGCTAAAGGTACTTTAAGTATTTCGGCTCAGGATGATAGTGTGAATCAGGTGAATCGACCGGTCTAAAGCTTTTAATCGAATCCAAGTAACGGCCAAAGTTTACCCACAAAGCGAGAAAGCGACATAAAACAATAAAACAGTAGGGAAATTAGAACGTGAGTACTTGATAGGGCTCTAAAATGGGTCCTCTATTACTTTTTGAACATAAACTTCCCAAGATATCGTGGAGACCAGCGGGTGAATAAAGTTCACGACATTCATATGGGATCCATAAAGTGCATCTAACAAGTTTTCTATATCCATACAAAAAATGAGTGTCAATGACACAGATAAGGACTGAAAATACTGAGATTACGATCATTTTAACAAAAAATTCACCCTTCGATGGTTTCGATTGGTCCACTAACACAGTAAAAGTAAAAGTAGACTCGAAATAACATCCTATTCGAAATATAATGACAAATAACCCTAGTAACAGTGTTCAGAAAGTGCAACAAATATATGAGTAAAAAGTAGCAGCCAAACGCAACCTGTGCTAGATTTGAATTGTGTACCTAAAGCTTTGGCGGCGTAAAGGCATTGAAACCATAACAATAACCTTTAGGGTACAAGGGCCCGAAAAGCCATCAATAAGCAATGAAACATACGATAAGCTTCGATCACAAATGCTACACCTGAGGCAGCTTTTGTGGTAGACGTGAGAACCTGTCGAGTAGCGATCAAGGGGATAGATCACTTTGTTACAGGCAAAACAAGCCTCTGCGGAGGACTAAAATAAGGTGTAAGCTTAAATTAACGCACAGCTCTCGATTACCAAATGCAGTAAATCGAAAAAATATCAATTTACCTTGTTTTCAGACATTGACACCTCGGGGGAAAATTGTTTAGCCGGTCTTTTTTCAATGCTTCGAGGTGTTGCAGGCAATGAAGAAGAGTCAAAACTACACTCGGATGATTCAAAATTTTCCAAAAGAGACTGAATACGTGCCGACATATTTTTTCTCCCAAAAGATTTCGAGCGCATAACAGGTGCCGATATCTTCACCGGTTTACTAAGGTCAACGACATTGGGAGGTTTGTCACTAGTTCCAAGAAAGAAGGTTGTGTGAAACGTCCGCACGGAGTCTTGACCGAAATGTGCGTCATTGCTTGCATCAATTTTGCGATCGGGAGACAAAATCTCTTCTGGAATCGACTTAAGTCCATGATTGCGCTGCGGAACCGACACTCCATCCGACGCGGTATTCTGAAACACTGTCAGGGAAAGACCCTTCCGTGACGAATCCATAGAGGGAGAGACAATATCATTCCTTTCACCGATTGAGTCCCTTTTATCGTTATTTGAAATCAATGCCACCCTTGATTGCACTATACCTTTACCTGGGCTATTATCCAGAAGGATTTTAAGATTATCAGCATATTCCCGATCAATATTTAAGAGGTCTGGACGCGAAGATAAATGTGATGTTTCAGGATTTTTACTCATTATAAGGCGAAAAATAAAGTCGAAATAAGGTGATAAACAGATGTCAAAGCCAAAATGACCTTGAGCTTATGGAGGTTTAATTGACGCGGCACTTTTCTTGCTAACCCATTCGCTTAGGTTGCGGTCAGCATCATATAACAACGGGTTTCTGTTGCATGCTTCTTCATAACCAAGGTTATGCACTAACTTACATCTTAAAGGCTGATTGCAGCATATTAAAGTCACAACCCCAGTATTTTAGGCAACTGCTAAAATTTTTTAGCAGTTTAGTTGTCTACAAATTAATGATTTTACTCTATTATGGTTAGAATACGAAAACTATGCTTTGTGTTTACCTTTAACCTGCAGCATTAGGACGAAAATATCGTAAAGTTTCTTGACTGAACAGTTGGGACGGGAATTTGTTAGGCCCAGATGAATACTTGCATTCAGGCAGCAAGTTTGGAGGCGAAGCTGGAATCTACCCTGAAGGCTACCCCACGCGGCAGAAGCTCGATTGTAGAGCCTGCCTGCCCGCTCTCAGGCCGCTGAATCTCGAAATTCAGTAAAGAATTTGTTGAGGAAGCTTTATTTGGCATTGTGTACGGGAAGAAAGGAAATAGGGAGGATTGATTAGACGGAAAGCCGATGTCACCCTTGGGAGGAATCTTCACACTCCCCACGCACTAGCATATATTACATAGCCTCCCCTCTTTGAAGCACCGTTCCCAGTGGCTTCTCTTCTGCCAACATTTAGGCTTCTTATTTGTAACCTACTGGCCGAGCCCCGCATTCTGGATGAGGTAGTTCGCGGGTGCGAGGACTTTGAGTATTCGGTAGGATTTCTAGCTCCAGGAGTGGTAAACTTTCCTATGGGTCCGT